TTACATAATTTTAAAAATGGTGCTGTTTTCTACCCGAGAGGACTTAGATTTCTTCAGCCTGGGAGATGATGAGCAGTCAGTCACTGTAATGAGTCCAGTTGAGACTCACAGTGTGCCAAGGCTCATCTTGCTCTCATTTTGTCTCCGCTGAAATCCTGGGATGCTTACCTCAGCCCATCTCCATTATATACCCAGAACTCCAATTCTCGACTCTCAGCTGTGTGAGGCTGCTAAGCACTGCTCTGAGTGATAGCATTCTTTCTGTAACAAATATATATGTAATATGCATAACCCCATTCACCTTTCACAAACAAATCTCTTACCTGAGAGAATACATCTCCATAATTTTTGCCATATAATAAAACAAAAAGTTCTCCAGACTGAAAAAGACGATAATTATTAAGATGTAGGAAGATATTAAACTCTCTAGAAAGAGCAATTATACAGACAAATTCAGAGTACTCTAAAATTGTAAATATGGTGCATAAACTGTTTAGAATGAATGTCTAAACTACAACAACCCAGATCTTTAGAATGAAGTCTAAAATACAACACAACTAAAACTTGTAATAACGACTTTAATATGTTAGAGATGAGCAATATAGACTATGTTAAATGAGATGTGAAAAATTCAAAACATGGGGAGGAATGGAGAACAAGTGTAGACTTTTCTTATGGCATGAATTTCTTTTCTTTATGATTATGTTAAGTTTCAGCAGGGCTGGGGATTTAGCTCAGCGGCACAGCTCCCGCCTGGCAAGAGAGAGGTCGTGCGTTCGATTCCTGGTACCGGGATTAAAAAAAAAAAAGTTTGAGCAATGGTATTCTTTGTTTCTCCACCACAGAGCAGTTTAGCACTGAGGAAAACCTCCCAGGTCAAAGCCACACAGTGCACTCACTTTTCTACAATTCTTATTTCTCCAGGATGTGGCCTCCCAATGCTGGCAGCTTTGGTTTCTAAAACAAAATCCACCCCTTTCTCCTCAACACATACCTACCTGAAACTGATGACATCACTAGGCCACCACTTCCTGCCTAATCTCTATGTGCCCTGGCAGGGATAAATCCCTGGGAAATAAGGATTTTCCCAGGACTGGAATGTAATTTATTGTTAGAGTTCTTGCCTTGCATGAATGATGCTTTGGGTTCAGTTTCCAATCACACACAGACACACACACACACACACACACACACACACACACACACACACACACAGAGTCTTTGGAGATGATTCACTGCCTCTTAATCTTATTTCCCTTCTCTAAAAAATTGGTCCACCAATTCTAGTTTGTTTGGGTTGCTCTCGGGTGCTGTAAATATTGTTTTATGTGTCCAAATTCTCACCTTTCCTTTACAAAGTTAGATAATTTGATATGAATTCCTCCATCATCGCCTAAGTCCATCACTTCCTCTCTGTAGCCTCTGATATTTGTTACATTTCATTTTGTCATAGTTTTGTCTCCACTCAATTAACACTTTATAAATTTAATTCTAATTTTTTTTCCTTGTCTCCTGTGCTTATTAGAGCATCTGTTATATGTCTTCAGATTCCCTTGATCTCACACTGAACAACTCACTGTGATGGAGCTATCTCTACAGCCATCAGATGCCCTGGTGCTGTGTGGTCTCACTGCAGTCGTTGGCCAGAGACTTAGATTCTTCCACCACTTCCAGACCAAGTGGCATGGGAATTCATTCTTACAAGGGCAAATGAAGATCTCTTGAAGTTCAGGGAGTACCTATCTCTGTCTGTTTGTTTGTCTCTCTATCTCTCTCTCTCTGTCTCTCTCTCTCTCTCCTTCTCTATGTGTGTGTGTGTGTGTGCTGGTGTGCATGTATTTGTGTTTCAGCACTGGGGTTTGAACCCAGATCCTTTACTCTTAGCTACATCCCTCTTTTATTTTTTAAGCATTTTTAGACATGATCTTCCTAGCACCTCAGTTGCCCTGATGAGAAACAAACTCAGGACCTCCCTGCCTCAGCCTCTCAGAGTACTATGCTTATAGGCCTGCCCCACCAAGTTTGAGTGTTGACATCAGTTTTGATTTGTGAGAGCCAAAAACCAGTAGACAGAAAATATTTGTGTACATTCTGACGTTTACGTGCCTAATGTCTGGGTGGTTGAGAAGCAGAGACCAATAATTTTCAGCTCTAGAACTTCTAGTCTGAAAATGGTTTAGGCTTCTCTATTGAAGTTTCCAAATTTGATTATTACCTTGAATATGCTTATATGGTTGCATTAAAAACTGTCAAATGTATTTAAGTTATTCATTGTAAGTCATGAGTTTTCCATATTTTAGTTGTTTATTTTCCTACTGGTTTCCACACAGTTGAATCCTTTGAATCTTGGTTATATATTTTGAGTTTGATATATGCTCTATGAAATATTACTTCAGTAATTGGAAGACTGAGACATGATCTTCTTCAGAGACAATTTGTATTTGCTTGTGGCATATAAATTAGGGAACTAGCAATTTGGGATCATTCTCATCACAATCATAGAAGCTGAGACAATTTGAAGGACAGCTTTACCCTGATGTTTAGGGAATATTAGGGTTGCAAGGTTTAACCACAAACACTGATCTCAGGTGCACCTTTGGTCATCTTTCTCTTTAGGATCCAAAATTTAATTGTTTCCTGTTAACCTAATGAAGTTGTCAAAGCTTTGCCTGACTCCTCATCCATTCAGATGTTTCATCTGGAATTGGCTAGTAGTGCAAAAAAACAGTATGTTTCAAATTCACCTTTCCAAATGTCCTTTTTTCCTGGGTCATGAATAATTCTTGAATATCTTTACATGTGTCTAATATTTTAAAGATTTTTAAGAATACATTTTCCAGATTTCCTAGGCTTTCTTAAGAGGAGAAGTGAGGTACAGAAACTATTTCATCATTACTGGAAATAGATGTCCCACAAGAGGAATTGTTAATAAATGTAGTAGTAAATTGTCTCAGGTAGTGTTCATATCCATAGTATATACTGAATATGCTTACACTTTAAAGAAGCCAGCAATTATGGGATGAGAAAGATCTGTAATCTCTATTTTTATGTTAGGGAAAGCACTATAGTGCTATAAGGTAATAAGCTACACCTGGACATATTTTTAAATAAGAGTATAAATAGTACATGGTATAATTTTACATTTTGCCTTCTGAAATACTTTGTACTGTTGCCTCAGTAAAATAATTTGGGGACTTATGTAGAGTTTCTGTACAATGAAACTAAATTATATTAGAATCATGGTGTATATTCCTGTTTCTTATATTTATTGTGGATTCACTAATCAAAACTGTATGAGTATTATTGATTTCTAATGAGGCTTTTAATTCTTTTATAACAAATTTTGATCGTGATTTTATTTAAGGATTGTGTCAGAAATAGCTAAGAAAATGCATTTTATACACAATTTTCATCAAATGAAACAAGTCTGAAGGTTGCATGCGTTAGCATGTTTCAAACTGTATTAACAAGGACGAAAAATGTGCAGGGTTGGCAAGAGAGAAAAAAAGAGTATGAGACAGCCCAGTATGAGCTCTTGTGGCTTCTGTTACTGGGATCAGAGAGTTGCGTAACTTAAGGTGTAGCAGAAAAGTCACCCCCAGCAGGTGAGGAACTAGAAGTGAGAGCTGAGGAATCTGGGAAATTGACACCAGTAAGACTTACTCCAATAGGATCCTCAACAGTAAATTGAGGCCTCCAAGGAGACTCCAGGTAAAGGAAGCAGATTTTAAGTAGGTTCCTCCTGGCTTCTGAGTACTATTTCTTTAGCTTACTGAGAAGATCAATTGCAATGACGATAAAACCTTAATTTTTCTATTACCTTACAAACATTGATCAACATTAGCTCTGATGTTCAGTATAATTTCCTTTGGACATCTCTGCTGCATTTGAATGTATGCAGATCTAGTACAACCTCACAGAGCTAAAATGCAACAAAACATGAAAAAATACTTGCTGCATCCAAAGTATTACTATCATTTTAAAAATAAAGGTAGTCATAGATATGCTAGTTCCTGAAAAAGGCATCATTAACTAATCAAGGTGGTGATATGTCAAATAACCTGTAGGAATCACTACACTTGTTTATGTATATTAAACCATCCAGTTGTACATCTTAAATTCAGACAACAAAAAACTGCTCCTTAAAGTAAATTTTGAAAACCCAAGATAAAAAGAAAATGTCTCTGATAGTAAAGTGGATAATTTACAAAAAATAGAGGAATAAAAAAAAAACACTGGTGTGACTATGAAAATATATCTATTGCCTTTGTAGTTCCATAAATGTATTTCAACCTGTTACATTTCTTGCTCTTTAAAATTGGAAAATATTAAAATACTGCATGTTGCATTGACTTACTTATAGAATTAAATTATTAAGACTAAACCTGCAAGATTCTAGGTATTACTACAAAACTGCATTCTAGTTCTTTAACACAAATCAGAGCAGGAAGAAACAGCTTACATGAAGGAGTTTTAGTAACCACTGCTCTGAGAATATTAATAAACAAGTCTCACAAAAACAAAAGACCATCCCCCCAAAAATATAAGATTGAACACTTTGGGCTTGAAATTCTTAAATGAAGGTTTATAATTACACATATTATTTCAAATACCATTTTATGAAAATGCCAGATGGCATCAGCAAATTAGAAGAGTATATACAGGGCTTTAGGATAAACAATAGTTATATAAAAGTCCCTTCCTCGCCTCACTCTGCACTATGGGATTCAGTCTTATGGGTTTTTGGCATTTGCAATAATTAAGCTACTTCCCTGAGGGAACAGAGTGTTTGGGGAAGTCACTAGCTTTGTTAAATTAGGATAAGAATCCTAGCAAAAGCTGGCAATCAAATCTGCCTCAGAAAGGAGAATATTTGATTTGAAGACACTTCTTACATACAATAAAGGAGACAAAGCAGAGAAATTCTTTTAAAAGAGAGATAAGTAGAATTGTACATAAAAGCAAAAGTTTCACTGAGTGTGTTTAGAAAGATAATAACTTTATCAGATGAGACTATTTCTCAGTTTCTAAACACGAGAATAAGGGTTTATGGGTATAAAGAACAAAGATCAAATACACTCATACTAACTGATATTTTATATCATCTTTTGATATAATAACATACTTGGTCATAAGGAAAGCAATGTTCTCAGGTATCAAAACAAAACCATGAACAGTGATCTGACCCCTTCTGCAGCTGCTCAGCTGTGCTACGAGAACTTAAATGGATCTTGTGTCAAAGCGCCCTACTCCACAGGCCCCCGCCTGCTTCTCTACCTGGTGTTCGGCTCCGGGGCTGCGCTGGCTGTCTTTGGAAACCTGCTGGTGATGACTTCCATTCTCCACTTCAAGCAGCTCCACTCCCCAGCCAACTTTCTGATCGCCTCTCTGGCCTGTGCTGACTTCTTGGTGGGGACGACTGTGATGCCCTTCAGCATGGTCAGGTCTGTGGAGAGCTGCTGGTACTTTGGGGACAGTTTCTGTAAATTCCACTCTTGTTTTGATATATTATTCTGTTATTCTTCTATCTTCCACTTGTGCTTTATCTCCATTGATAGATACATCGCTGTCACTGACCCTCTGGTTTATCCGACCAGATTCACTCTTTCTGTGTCTGGCATGTGTATCGCTTTCTCCTGGCTGCTTGCTCTTGTCTATAGCTTTTCTGTTTTTTACACAGGGGCAAATGAAGCTGGGCTGGAGGAACTAGTGAGCGCCCTCACCTGTGTGGGAGGCTGTCAGATCACAGTCAATCAAAGCTGGGTCTTGGTCAGTTTTTTCCTATTTTTCACTCCTACACTTGTGATGATAAGTGTTTACTTTAAGATTTTCCTGATAGCTAAGCAACAGGCTAGGAAAATTGAAAGTCTGAGCAGTAAGACTGCTAAATCATCAGACAGCTACAAAGACAGGGTGGCCAGGAGGGAGAGAAAAGCAGCCACAACCCTGGGAGTCGCCGTGATAGCTTTTCTGATCTCATGGTTGCCGTACTACATCGATTCCATCATCGATGCCTTCCTGGGTTTCATCACACCCACATACGTGTATGAAATACTAGTTTGGATTGCTTACTACAACTCAGCGATGAATCCTTTGATTTATGCTTTCTTTTACCCTTGGTTTCGAAAAGCTATCAAACTAACTGTTACTGGCAGAGTGTTGAGAGAGAATTCCTCCAAAATAAACTTGTTTTCTGAGTAGAATTTTGTTTTGATTGGAGGAATTGAAGAGTTTCACAACAGATTCATCAGGGGGAAAGTAAAAGATCATCAACATGCAAAATCTCTTAAAGTAAATTAATTGAAGCATGCTTAAACTTGGACACAAGTCAAATCAAGGTGAACTTCGGGTGCAATGTTCCTTGGCAACTATAACATTAAACCTACTAGTAATGGAAAGAACATGACCTTAGAGCCAACTCTGCTATTTATCCTTGTGATCTTGGGCTTGGTGTTCTCTGACCATTTCTTTGTAGTATCCTCCAGAAAATTTAAGAGAATACATGTAAAGGACATGCTACAGTATATTTTTAATTCTAAGTCCTGGCATCTGATTCTTTATAACACCTTAGTCCCTGGACATATCATCTCTCCCATCTTTTTATTGTATTTTCCTGATAAAATGGGAATGAGACTGAGAGAAACTTTGAGATGTGCCAGCCCTTTGCTTGGAGAAGCTATGAGGAGTCTCTGTGGGGATTAACTTTATGTCTCCAGGATGACATTTTAGAACTTTAAAAAGCAAATCAAGAAATAGATATATTAATTATAAATCAGTTCCTTTGTTTGCAATGGGAAAGAAAACTAGCATTCTAAATAACCACAGCCATTCACATTTTACTAACCATGACACGAATGTGCAGACCCTGGGATTCAGACAGTAGCGCAGCTCACCCTGAAATATCCCTCCCCTCCAGTGGGGAATGTGGGCAGCCATTGAACTCAGACTGTTTTGAGGTATTGGTGAAGAGGTTTTTTATATAAATTATTTAAGAAGAACAATTTTTGATTGTCATATAGAAACTATCAACAAAGCTCTATAGAAAGAGCCATTGGAAGGAATAATTGATGTAATTCAACAATTTAATCTATAAAATTCACTCATTCCTACTATATTGAAAATAGTGGTTTTCTTGTACAACATCTTTCCCCTTAAGGCTCAAAGGAGGGTCATTCAGATAAACATACCTTTGAAGCAGTAAGGTGGGATTGGTTCACATACCATCGTTATTCTATACCATCATCATTTGGTTCCATTGAACCTATTCTCCCCAAGTGATACTGGTACATTTACATCCTTGATTCCATGTAATTGTATGTAACTATTTTTGTAGATGCCAGTTAATTTTTATAAACAACTATGTGAATATGTTTATGAATATTATATGCCTTGGGATGTTCAGGTATTTAGAGCAATCTTGGAAAACTGTCTTTATTTTTCTATGTAGAAAAATTTGTAAGAAAAAATATTCTGAGTGCCTTTTATTAGCTCCCACTTTTTAGGAGCTAAGTGATTCATCCTGTCTAGAGCATCGTTTTCTTCATTCTACTGTTGTATTTGTTTCCCCAAAAAATTGTTCCTCAGAAGAAAGTCATTTCTTGTTCACTTTTATCCTGCTCGCAGACACCTTCACTACACAAGGACTGTGGTGTTTAGTTAACAAAGGTGGAATAATTATGTGTGTGTTTCCTTTAACTATAGAATGTTTTAAGGCATGTGGATGAAGATGTGCATGTCCACATTAGGTAAACATGATTTTGTACAGGTCAGCTTGTATCGAAGTGGTTATCAGACAATGATGCAGACATTGTCCATGCTAACTTTTTGGTATTTGAGTTTATAGACATGAGTTAGTAGATATGTCATTTACACACATTGAATTTTATTTAAACTAACTTCTGGAAAGAGCCTCCCTCTCTAAATGTAGGTTGTTGGATTTTGAATTCAAGGGACAGAATATTTGCAAACTAAGAACTTTTTTCCCACTTGCCCCCCAATGACCATACCATAGTAACAGACACACAGAATACTAGAACAAATAGATACCTCTAGAATGAGCTCAAGCATCTTTTTGTAGATGCAGGATGTATCTTCACCCGTGTGAGTCAGTCTTCTGAAGACAAAAGGCAGCTCTTGTGCTACCTGGGTGTCCACCAAGCCAGGATTGAGCCTGGAGTTTACCTGGCTCTGTGCTAACAAGTGGTCATGGTGCAACCTGTCCTTGGTGAGCTTTGCCTGAATTGTCCTCCCATAGACCAGGCTGGCCTGGGTCTAAAGATCCAGGACCCTTTATTCCCTGCTGTAGCGTAACTGTATACTGCATTAACTTCTAAGTTACTTATGAAGGACCCTACAGTTTTTCCTTGTCATTGTAATTATAACTGGAATTAGAATTTTGGTCCAAAAAAACATCTCTTGGAACTTTCAAATCCTTTCTCTATTGCCTCCTAGGACAAGAGATGATAATGTGATACTTGATGATCACTTTTGTCAAGCTGCCTGGATCTCTCTGGTCCCCGTTCCTGGGAGCCTTTCTGGGAGGTTTTCTTTTTATCTTTGTCTGAGTTTAATGGCTATATATTTCATTTGTGATTTTGCAAATACTTTTAAAAAACATATTTGTTAACACGTATTAAGGGAGAATCTCAAGGGTGGCTCTGCCTCTGAGAATTCCACACTTTCTGCTAGGTCACTGCCAACATCTCACCATGCTACTTTTTAGTGTTGGATATTTAACCTGAATATTGAGCCAGAAATTAAGCTGATCACATTTTGAGGAAGAGTTCAACAACAATAAATTGATTTATGGTCATGAAAACTTATATATGGAAAATTTAAGGATGAATACAGATTACTGCATGTTACTTTAATTGGCTTTCCAACACTGAATGAGACGTCCAAATATGTGGCCTGATAGTTGGGAAAACTTTGTGAATATTCAAGAAAACCATAAAGAATGGGACTAATACTAAAGGCAGTCCTTCCTTCTATCTAGGTAAGAAATATGGTCCATTGAAGTGTCTCTGGTTATAGGATACTTTGAATCTACTTGTTACATCACACACGTCAAGTGGCTTTACTCTTATCTCGACTTGAGCATGGAAACTTGCTTTACTCATCCTCCTTCCCCTACTTTTACAATAAGTTAAGCATCCAAGTACATCCCATAGCTTTCCACTCAACTTCCAGATTTAAAGCCCACTCAAAAGTTGACTTTAACTGTGCTTACAATTTTGAAACCGTCTCTTCTCATCTTTCTTGTTCCTACGCCATCCAGACCCAGCTAGTGGGACTTACAGAGGGAAAGATACCATCCAACTTTTCACTCCTCCCTCCCCTCTCCTCAGCTTCATGCAGCCCCACTCCCCATCCAGAATGGAGCAGGGATCGAATAAGAGAACACTGAGAGTGAAACATCTACCATGATCAGCTGTGAAGGGGGCTCGATGGTAATGCTCTCTGACAGCTGTACAAATGAAGGTGGGTGGTGTGGTGTGGGTCTCTCCTCTGGGGAAAGCCTGCTCACCATACAGACCGTGATGTGGGCGAGCCACTCCAGCTGCCCACTTCCCACTCCTGATTACAGTCTCTGTGTGTGGGAGGAAATCAAAAGGGCTTTTGCATCTGATGTCACTCCATCAGTGTACCATTGTACTGAAGAAAGCAATGATAGAAAGTTCCAAGTGAGTTTCCCTGTTTAGGTTTCCTTACTCAGTAGTCTTTTAGAGCTGCCCTGTGTTCCTCTTGAGCAGGTGGAAGGTAGAAGTGGGGAGATTGCAGGAGCAAGAGTGGACTGTTGGGAGAAGGGGAAGGAACCTGATGTTGTCATTACCCAGTGAACAAAGGTGCTATTCTACGTGGCCTAGAGAACGGGTGGGAGTCTGTCAGGTTCAGCCCTTTCTGCAGATGCCCCACCTCGAGGTACACCAAGTGTCTGTGACACATCCCATGGGAAATCAGGAAGATCTTCAAAGAGCGCAAACCAGAATAACCACAAGCTTCAGGTTCCTGGAGAGTCAGGGTGGGTCCTGCAAAGATTACTGACGAATTCAGATTTGTAGTGTGTGGACCAATATGATTTGGATTTTTTATACGCAGAGGCCACGTTTGCCAAGTGAAGGTTACAGAACATTGCAGAACAAATTTGCTACAGAATTAGTCCCCTACCCCAAATTCTTTCTCCTTATGGAATAGAAGCAGGAAAAGGGAGTGCAATGAGAAAGAGGAAAGTGTCACGGTGAGTGACCACAAGCAGTATAGAGAATGGAAACGACTACCTGGAGACAAGACTTAGTTTAGTCACTGAAAGGCCCAGAGAAGCTATTTCTCCACTGAGAGCATCCAGTCATCAGGGAGACTATAGTAGGAGAAAAAGCCACCAAGCTAAGAGCTCTCTGGCCTTTATCTAGAATAACAGTGAAGGAGAAAAAAGTGGGAGAAAAGCAGTTTGGGCCAGGAGCTGTTCCAAGGCTGGGCAATTTTTCTTGGGGAAAGGAGGACAATGACCAGACACAACATGCTTCACTTACCTAAACTTCTTGTTCTTTAATCATTCAGTTCTCACAGAGCCTGTGCTTTTATCCCACAGTTTAATTATTTACTGCTCACAAAGCTTACATACTTTCTGCCTTGCAGTTTATTGTCTGTGTGTGCTTTTATTCTTCATTTTAATAATTTGCTCCTTATAAAGCCTATGGGCTTTTGTTCTACAGTTTAATCATTCCATTTAATCATTCAGTTGAATCATTCATCCTTGGTCACGTCCCCCACAGAGAAGCACATCAATATATTTTCTTTCACTATACCCACTCCTTTTAAGGCTAAACCTTTCCCCTGGGGCAATAGGGAGGGCCGGGATACTCAACTAGATATGGATTGAAGCTTTAAACTGGAGGCCCCAGAAGAGAGACTGAACAGTCAGCGTGACTGGAGAAGTGTGAGTTTTGCATAAGAGGTAACTAGGAGGTGAACATGGGAAGACTTTCTAGCAGCTGTAATTGGAGAAAAAATGCTTTCTCAGTGTTTCTCATCATACTTGAAGTATTCTGTAAGCAGTTAATTTATGAAACACTTGTCATGCCCAAATGGGTTAGGTAGAGAGTCAAGTTCATTCAGTAATACACTACTGTGCTGAACTGCTTGGACCATTTCTCAGAAACGTTGGTTACATACAATCAAAGCTCACTACCCATCATCTACAG